AAGGTTACTGTCCAAATTCAGTTGCAAACTAGATCACATAGAAATTTAAGTCAAAAGACCTTCCATGTACATATGGAAATTTACTTGACAATTCCTAATCTTAATTTCATCTGCAACTAAATCCAACCTAAGTATCATTAACTGTAAAGAGCACTTTTTTCCAAATGCAATAAATCAAATGAAATAATTTACCTACAATGTGTAGGTACCCACAATACATCTAGCCACCTACAATTATTACAACACCTTTACCTAACTCCTTCTCCCTACAACCTCCCCAACCCCACCAAAGAGATTAAACACTAGGCAGGTATGGTATAAATGCCCTGAGCTAACAAAAAAACTGATTCTTGAATCTAAAACGAAGCTGTTAACCTTAATCTCAGTCTGTTTCCTTAATAAAAATGTCCCCACCTTCGGAAGTTTTAAGAATAAAGAAGGATCCACAAGGGGCACTGTCCAAAACGGCAACTGCATACCACCACAAGTGGCTATTTGAATTTACACTTAATTTAAAAATTGAGTTCAATTGCACTAGCTATACTTCAGGTGTACAACAGTCACACGTGACTAACAACTATCATATTGGACAGAGCAGATACAGGGCATTTCCCTCATCGCAGAAAGTTCTACTGTGCAGTATAAATGGTAAGTTTTCAGTAAGTCACAAAGAGTATCACCATGCTATACTAACTTCTCTTACCACTTTTCTAGGAAAGAGAAATTCTGTCCTCTAGACTTTTAACAACATAAATCATTAGGCAAAAGTCCAAAACTAGAGTAATGGTGTAAAATATTTTAAGCACTCCCAACAGCTCACACTACCACCTGAGAAGCAGGGCGGAGCAGCGGCGGTCACCGCCCTGGCACTACTTAACTGCAGCGCAGGAGGGGCTCTCCAACTTGTCCAAGTGGGCTAAAATCTAAAAAGGTGTGAACTTCGTTCCACTCCAGCAACTCATTTTTCCTACCTTAACCTAGATCCTAAAAAAGTGGTGTAAAGATCTGGTAATGTCCTCAAACTCTTTCGATAAACAAATAGCATCAAGAGTAGGCAAAGGCACAATTTTCTAATGACCCAGTTTTCCAAACTGTTAAAATAGTGTATAATTACAACAAAAATCCCGCAAAAAAACCCACTTTTGGTAAACACACATAACTCTTCTTTAAACTAAACTCCTACATAATATATGTTACATTAAATTCATCCCCTGCCCCTTCTCTAGACAAATTATAGACAAGAAACATTCTGTAGACATTTTGACCAACTTAAAACAGTTCTTTAATCAGAAAACAGTTAAGTAATATATGAAAAAAGGGCCCAATATGCAACAAAACTGAATTTTATTACTTTTTTAAAGATTTTATTTATTTATTTGAGAGAGACACAGCGAGAGAGGGAACACAAGCAGGGGGGAGTGGGAGAGGGAGAAGCAGGCTCCCTGCCAAGCAAGGAGCCTGATGCGGGGCTCGATCCCAGGACCCTGGGATCATGACCTGAGCTGAAGGGCAGATGCTTAACTGACTGAGCCACCCAGGCAACCCCAAACCTGAATTTTAGGTATCAACTAAACTAGAACAACCCAGGCAAATCCACTACAGAAACTTTCTGGGTTTCCTCTGAAAAATAAAGGCAAAAACATATTTCATTACTTTGAAAATTGAGGTTTCAAATATTTTAAAAATACAAACTAACTTCATTTCCTAAAGGAATTTACTACAAACAAGTATGGTACAACTACCAAAGTAGCAGCTCAAAAAGTGAATACTCCTGGAATGATTTAACAGTACCAACCCAGCAACACTTGGTTACAGGCATTAAAGTATGCCCAACTTTTCGTTGGGGGGCTTAAAATCAAGACAGCTAACATACCATAAAAACTGAGGAAGCAGAAGGAATTTTTAAAAAGCAAATACTAACTATATTTTTGGTTAGCACAGTTTTCTTCATTCCTAAAGTAATAGGACAACAAGAACATTCTATCCCCTTCTCTTTAGTAATTTTCACATTTTTTCTGCATATACCCTATCACAATAAACCCTTTAGCACTTCAATTTTAGCAATGAACGTAAAGGTTCTGCCCCACTATCACAACCAGGAAAAAAAAATGTGTAAAATGATTAATCAAAAAACGTTACTCTATGAATGGTTAAACTGTGGTACATCCCTATCACAGAATTCTACTCAACAATAAAAAGGAACAAACTAGTATTGATACCCAACAACTTGGATGAATCTCAAGGAAATTATATTGCATTAAAACAAGACAATCCTAAAAGTTATATGCTGTATGATTCTTTTCAGTAAACATTCATGGAATGACAAAATTATAGAAATAGAAAACAGAACAGTAGTGGCTGCCAGAGTTTGGGGGTAGAAGAGATGGAAAGCAGGTGGGAGGGTGTGGTTGTAAAAGGCAACAGAAGGATCCTTGTGCTGATGGAACCATTCTGCCTACTGACTGTAGTGGGGGTTATGTAATTACAATTGCGATAACACTGCACAGAACTAAATACACACACAAATTAGTGCAAGTAAACTGGAGAAATATGAATAAGATTGATAAAGGGTATCAATGTTATGATACTGAACTACAGTTTTGCAAGGTGTTAGCCCTGGGAAACTGGGTAAAGGGTACAAGGGATCTCTGTATTATTCCTTAAAACTACATGGGAATCTACAGTTATCTCAAAATAAAAAGTTTGATTTTTTAAAAACTGCGACCCTAACAATTGGGATAATTTCAATATGAACTGGATATTCCACAGTATTAGGGAATGACTGTTAACAGTATTATAGCTATACAGGACAATATCCTTATTCTCAGGAAATGCTTGCTGGTGCATTTATGGATGAAATATTATGTCTGCAACTTCCTCTTCTGTGTATGGGAAAAGAGAGAAAGCAAATCTGGCAAAATGTTAATATACTAAATTAAGGTAAAGGGTTTATGAGTGCTCCTTGTACTCTTCTATCAACTTTTCTACTTGAATTTTTTTCAAAAAAAGTTAAGGAGTAAGATTTAAGACACATTTTTGTCCTAAAACTATGTTTCAGTTGAACTTACACACCAGTTAATCTTTCAAAAGATTTAAAAGTAGGAGTGCCTGGGTGGCTCAGTCAGTTGGGCGCCTGCCTTCAGCTCAGGTCATGATCCTGGGGTCCTGGGATCCAGCCCCGCCCCCAGGTCCTTGCTCAGCGGGAACCTGCTTCTCCCTCTCCCTCTGCTTCCCACTCCCCCGATTGTGCGCGCGCTCGCCCTCTCTTTTTCTGTGCCAGATAAGTAAATAAAATCTTTTAAAATAAGTAAATAAAAGATTTAAAAGCAAATAAATCGTTCTATTTTTTTAAAAAACCACGTGATAGTCCTATCTATACTCGTTATTCTTTTTTTTTTTAAGATTTTATTTATTTATTTGCGAGAGAGAATGAGAGACAGAGAGCACGAGAGGGAGGAGGGTCAGAGAGAGAAGCAGACTCCCTGCCGAGCAGGGAGCCCGATGCGGGACTCGATCCCGGGACTCCAGGATCATGACCTGTGCCGAAGGCAGTCGCTTAACCGACTGAGCCACCCAGGCGCCCTATACTCGTTATTCTTAAAACAAAACGGCAATAAGGATTTCAAAGGTAAAGAGTCACGTGGTATTGGATGTGACTTTCCGATAAGTTTTTCAACATAAATTGACTAAATCTGTAAGGTATATGGATATTTTTGTAAAATCAACGTTAGTTCAACATGGATTACTCTTTCCTATTTCTAGAAGACTGGATCCCCAAAATTGTTCTACTTTTCAAATAAGTGAAGCAAATTAAAATTGTAAGGGAAAACAGCTAACACTTTCATGCACACACTCCAAATTTTAAAAGTTTTAAGTTTGGCAAACAGTTAATTCTTTCATAAAGAAATGTTTGGATGAAGAGGCAACCCACACACTAAATACCAAAACAAAAATGTGCCATGATGTATTAATTATAGCGCCAGGGCCACAAGATATATTTTACAACGTCAACTGTCCCTCCAAACATCACTGTATTTTATAGTATTTAAAAAAAAAAAAAGCAAACTGCACACGTTTGAAATGTAGGAAATAAGTGAGTTTGAGCTAGCGTCTATGAGATCCATCTCAAAAGTTCTTAAGTTGTCTTTGCTGCTACATTTTTGCATCAGAGATAATACGCTTCAGTCTCTGAGAAAATCCGTGTCTAGAACGTCTTAACCAGAAACTCTGTAACTTTTCACTTCCAACCGGACCGCCCCCTCGCAGTGGGCCCCACCTCCCGAGTAGGGTATGGGGTGGGGCTGTTTCCCGCTCGGAAACTAAGAAATAAATGTCTTTTTCCCTACTCCATCCAGAAACGAGGGAAAAAGAGAGGCCGAGAATCTGCAGACTCGAGTATGAAACTAACTACAAGTAGGTAGTCGTTTAGTAAGCTTCCTTTCCTCTTCTGAACCCCTTCCTTCCCTCCTTCCAAGTCATTCAGTGACCCCGGGCCGGGCGGGGACAGGTGAATATCAAGAGAGGAAGAGGGAGGGACGGACGAAGGAGGGAGAGCCGCGCTTGGGCAATGAATGAGCTGTGCCGCATCCGCACCACCTGTTCCTTCCAAGGGTGCCACCCCGACCTGCCGGCAGCGTTACCGCACCACCCCGGCCGCGACTCCTGCCCGTGTTGCAAGCTTCCCTGCTAAAAGGCCGGGCCTGTCCTCTCCACTCGGGGCGGATGAAAACCCGCAGTCTAGAAGCTAGGAAAACGGGGCCTACTCCGGAACCACGGCCTCCGAAGCGTGGAGACAGGAGGAGGAAGCCCGTGGCCCGGGGCGCGCGGGGTGATGTGGGAACCATAGGGAGGGGACGAAGGGGTGCATTCGGCTTGACTAGGAGTATGAAGGCGGGGTTCCTGGCGGAGGTGGCCCGGTGCCCGCCGGGCCGAGGTTAGGGGTGACAGGCCCGTGTACCGGCTAAATCCTCCCCACTGCTTGCCCAGAGTCTCACACTTACCAAGATCCGCTTGAAGAGAGCGTTCTCCTTGGGCGGGAGGCTCACGGCCGGCATCGTTCCGGCTCCTCCCGCTGCTCCCGCCACCGCCCGGCTCGGTCAGTCTGTTTGTCCGACCGCCGCCGCCGCCGCCGCCGTCCCCTGGCTGCTTCAGCCTTGATTGCCCCGATCCACCGCCGCCACCAAGCCTCGAGTGTCACCGCGTCGCCCAACCCCGACACCCCCTTCCCCTCGTTGTCTTTTTTCCTTTCTCACTTAACGCTGCCGCCGCCTCCCCCCCCACGGGTCTCCGTCGGCGGTTCACGTGGTAACTGAACAGACCGACAGAGGCAGCCAAAATGGCGGACGCGGAGGGCTTTCCCACCCGGGTCACACCTCCTAGCACGCAGGCGCGATGACCTCCTTTCCCCACCTCCTCTGTCCTAGAGCTTGCTGGGAAACCAGGAGGCCCGCGGGTGGGCGGAGGCCGCGAGGGTCGCGGCAGGCCCCGCCCATCCCTCGGTCGCAGCGCGTCTTGGAGGCCCCCGGGGAGAGCTAGGGGAGAGTCGCTAAGTGCGGTTCCGGCTGTCGCAAACGCAGAAATAGCCTTTCAGCTGTTTGCTGCCAAAGTGGCCTTTCATTCATTGCGTAGATTCTCCCAGCCTGTATGATCATACTTAGAGCCTGAAGTGCTGAAGTGCAGGTGTTCAAGAAGTTCTGCGTTTGATCGTGAAGTGCCTAATTAAGCAGCAGAGGCGGAAGGGAAATGAAGGCTTCACCCCAGGCGGGGCTTGTAAACCAATACGGAAAGGAGAGGCTTAATGGAGTCTGAAAACCGTGGAAGAGTTTGACCAGTTAAATGGGCTGGCTGGAGTATCGGTGATTTAGTTTATTACTTAAGGTGAGCCTGGAAAGAGCCAGATCCTAAGTGCCGTATTTGCACTGCCAAAGAAGCATCTGAAAGTTAAAATGTGTTTTATTTCATTGTTGAGTCCATACAATGAAGGGTTCACGACTGTTTGAGTCATCTTGGAGTAGAGTTCAGGGACATTGACTGCCCTGGAGCTGGGTAAAAGCTAGTGCTTAATATTGTATTGTGAGTGTTGAACTCCCCATCGCCAGAAATCCTCAAATGTTAAACACCGGAGTATCAGGCAGGGATACTAGAGAACTGCTGCAGTAGGCAATATCAAACTAGATGCCGAAGAGGACCTTTTCCATTTATGTGTATATGTATAAGTAATTTCATGAACAACTGACAGTAAAGGGGCGCCTGGCTGGCTCAGTCCGTAGAGCATGTGACTCTTGATATCAGAGTGGTGAGTTTGAGACCCAATTTAGGCATGGAGCCTACTTAAAAAAAATTTTTTTTAATTGACAGTAAAACTATTTTAAAGCTGGCATTCCATTGATGAGCTCCAATTTTTCCCTTGTGTGAGCCATTTTTACGCTTGATTATTTTTGACGATCTCTCTCCAGATGCTAAATTCCATCCGTAGCATTCTTTGCATCATGAATCTTTGCATTATATGTGCATTAACTTTGCTCTTTTAAATGTATTTACCCAGATATTTTACTGTTACAGCTTGCACTTCTTTAATCCTCCCTAGAAGGTGTAAGGTGAGTGAGATATTTCCCATTGTAAAAATCTGGGACTAATGCTCGGGTTTTCTAGTTGCTATCTCAAATGTCCTCTTCTTTTGCCTGGATCATAAATTAGGTTTGGTGAATCAGATCCTGCAATTCCTTCAAATTCTGTTATCTTTGTTCAAAAGTTTCATTGAAAAAAGTATCTACAGGAAACCTGTATCTACAGATGTTTGAGTTTTGGAATACGGCCAGTTTTTTAACCTTAACTTTAAAAAAAAAAAAAAAACTAAGAACAAACATAGAATTCATAAAAACAGTTGTCATTCAATGATAACCTTTGAACTTCACTGCCCCCAAGAGGTCTTTCTTTCAACCATCTCAGCTATTAAGAAGTAGAAAAATTATCTAACTTACAGTGATAATTTTAGCTTCACTACCAACTTTGGTTTCCAAATCTCTGGCTTCATATCCAGAAGTTCCTACACTAGTATTATTTGCTAAGGTTTTCTAAATTTCTCCTTTGAATAATATACTATTTTCCTCTTGAGGGAAGAAAATTTCTGATGTTTGAAACAAACAGTAGTCCCCACCAAAGGCTGAGTACCTGAATAGATGAGACAACAATATAGTTCGGCAAATGTTACCTTCTTTTTGGCTGATAACAAATTTTTAAGACTCAGTGAATACTAGGGCGCCTGGATGGCTCAGATGGTTGGGCGTCTGCCTTCGGCTCAGGTCATGGTCCCAGGGTCCTGGGATCGAGTCCCGCATCGGGCTCCCTGCTCAGCGGGGAGCCTGCTTCTCCCTCTGCCTCTCTCTGTCTCTTATGAATAAATAAAAAATCTTAAAAAAAAAAAAAAGACTCAGTGAATACTAGTTTGAATTGACATTTATCTGAGTCATTTCCTAGTTAAAATGCACCAATAGATAACAGTTGGACCATACAGTCCATGATTTGATAGCCCGAACTCAATAATAAAATACCTGCTCTCACAGATCACCACTGTTTGACTAACAGATCCTATTTAACCTGTATGCTGTCATTGACAGCTATGCAGGAAATTAACATATCCAAGGCTGGATGATGACAGATGATGAGGATGGTGGTGATGATGATGATGATGGTTATTTCATTCATCGTACCCTAAGTATTTGCATATCACTATTGCCAAAGTGCCTCTTCACAAGAAAAATTAACCATAAATAAATATATAAATAAATGACCTCCAAACTTTAACTCTACAAAAGGGATATGTAGAGTGAAAATTCTCCATCTCCATATATGTAAGATGTTCTCTATCAACACTTTTATGCCTTAATCATCAAGTATTTAAATTTTATAGAAATACAACATAAGGGGTGCCTCAGTGGCTCAGTCGTTAAGCATCTGCCTTCGGCACGGGTCGTGATCCCAGGGTCCTGGGATCGAGCCCCACATCAGGCTCCCTGCTCCGCGGGAAGCCTGCTTCTCCCTCTCCCGCTCCCCCTGCTCGTGTTCCCTCTCTCACTGTGTCTTTCTGTGTCAAATAAATAAAATCTTAAAAAAAAAAATACAACATAAAACAAGTCTATATATTTGTCACCCAGATTTAACAAATGTTAACATTTTGTGATTGCTTCTGATTGTTTTTTAAATAAAAATTTGCATATACTTGAGGCGCCGGGGTGGCTCAGTCGGTCAAGCCTCTCCCTTTGGCTTGGGTCATGATCTCAGGGTCCTGGGATCAAGCCCAACATGAGGCCTGCATCGGCTCCCTGCTCAGCAGGGAGTCTGCTTCTCCCTCTCCCTCTACCCCTCCCCACTGCTCATTCTCTCTGTCTCTCTTTCTCTCCCTCAAATAAATAAATAAAATCTTTTTTAAAAATTTGCAGATATGGGGCGCCTGGGTGGCTCAGTCGGTGAAGCGTCTGCCTTCAGCTCAGGTCATGATCTTGAAGTCCTGGGATCAAGCCCCACATTGGGCTCCCCACTCAGCTGGGAGTCTGCTTCTCCATCTGCCTCTCCCCCTGCTCATCCTCTGCCTCTCCCTCTCAAATAAATAAAATCTTTTAAAAAATAAATAAAAAAATTTAAAAATTTTGCCAGTATATCAGGAACTGCATCCCTCTTCAGATCCTGAATTTGATGTATGATATTTTCATGCATCATAAATCAATAAACATCTATGTAGTGATCTTATATTTTATACTGTTTTCAACTTTTGCTCTTCTTTAACCCTCCCTAGGAATGAGAAGTGTGAGTTGAGTAAGATGTTGCCTAGTGGAAAAGTCTGGGACTAGAACTGTGGTTTTCTAGCTGCTAACTCAAATCCTCTCTCCTTTTGCCTGGGTCATAAAGAAAGTTTTAGCATTCAAATTCTGGAAATGGTTTAATGAATGTCATGTCACAACTTCTACCAAAATATCATAGCTACTAGCTCCTGGCTGGAATTGCTTCAACAAGATGGAGTTTCACCTACAGCTGCCTACTCTAAGTGTAGGGTTCCATCAACTCTAACATGCTGAGAGGAATGTGCTTATATTTCATCACTTTCCTAAAATATACACTAGTAAAAGGATACAGGGACCAAAAGAACAAACCAACCTTTTTCCAACAGCAGTACTGAAATTAGTAATTTGCTAACTGGCTCTGTATGCTCTGACTAAATATGGCTTCTGTTTCATCTTGTTGGATACTAGCAAAAGCTGTGTCAGGACAAGCTTCCAAAGAATGATGTAGAAAGAATATTCAACTGTCAGGTTGCTGAGTGGACAAGAAGTTGAGAACCAACAACTGACTCAGCATATTAGTTGGGTGGTTTGCTTACTTGAGCATGAGTCTAGGAGGCTCAAACTAGGTTACAAATTATAATGTGACTCACAGTTTAGCAATCCAGGTAGCCATAAGTTGCATGTAAAAATGAACCAGAAAGTATAGTACATTATTTTACTCTTTGGTCAATAATTTTTGGTTAAATTTTTTCCCCAGTAATATTGCTAAAAAATATATAAAAGTGGACACTTAGTAGAGCATGCTACTCTTGATCATGGAGTGGTGAGTTCAAGACCCACGTTGGACATAAAGCTTAAAAAAAAATTTTTTTTAAGAAAAAGAAAATATAGAGGGAGAAAAGATTTGCTAACATTCATTGTGCTTTTAAAATGATCTTAAATGGCATTAAGTTTAAAGGATTAAATTATTAAAATTCATTATTTCTTTTACTTATATAGATGTTTACATGGTCTTTAGACATCAGATTGAATTGAGAATTGAATGCACAAAATCTGGCTCAATTATGAAAGATAAAACCTATTGTCAGTACAACGTCTTTGGTAGACCGGCAAAAACGAGTTGTTTGCAACTACCAGACTCTTCGTAAGCTTCACAAGGACCATATAGGATAGGTTTTATGTTATAGCTATAAAACTGAGGTGTAGAGAGATTAAGTAATTTGCCTAAAAATCAAAAGCTAAAAAATGATCTACAGGAATGGCGTTTTAAACTTGACTCTTTGAACCCTGTTCTACAGCTCATGGCCTCAGGGGATTGTCCAAGTCTGTTAGGTGGGCTAATGAGGATCACTAGATCTGGGGTCAGAAGACCTCAGTCTGAATCTTACCTTCCCCAGCTGTGGGATCCTGAGCCTGAGCTGGTCAGGGCACTTCCAAAACACGAAGATTCTCTTTTCCTCACAGCGTTGTGAAGCTCTACTAAGATAGTGCGTGTGAACAGACTTTGGGAGTTGTGGGAAGTCTCTTCAAATATATGGTATGTCACCTTGGATGAGTAAGTTGCCTTTGAGCTTCATCTGTAAACCGAGGATAATAAGGTATATCAGGCGGTGGTCGTGAAGATGAAATGAGACGATGTATGTAAACCATATGATGGATGCATAATGTACAGTGTCTGGAACACAGAATTCAAAGTGCTAGTTGTTACTCAACACAGCACTCCATTTTCAGTTTTCTGGCTCATGTATTAAGATTTTAGTAAATCTCAGGGGCGCCGGTGTGGCTCAGTCGTTAAGCGTCTGCCTGCGGCTCAGGTCATGATCCCAGAGTCCTGGGATCCAGCCCCGCATTGGGCTCCCTGCTCTGCGGGAAAGCCTGCTTTTCCTCCCACTCCCCCTGCTTGCGTTCCCTCTCTCGCTGTGTCTCTGTCAAATAAATAAAATCTTAAAAAAAAAAAGAAAAAAGATTTTAGTAAATCTCTTGAGTATCCCTGGGGCAGGGGCCTGAAATTCTCATGGGACAGCGAAATGGATAAACTACCCCTTACGCCTTTTAATCATTTCCTCCCAAACCCCATTTTACAAACGGGTGATGAGACCAGGAGAGCTAGAGTACCAGGCAATAACCACGATTCTCGAGTTAACACCTCTACTTAGTAGCGCGGCTGCGTAGCTAGCGAATCCCGCACTTCGTTCCGCCAGGGGGCGCTCGCATGAGCGCCGACTCCAGGGGACACGGGGTTGCGGAAAGGCGGAGCCCTGCCTGGCAAGATGGCGCTGCCCGCGTTGTTCCGCCTGTTCTCCAAGCTGTTGGCTCCTGCCAGGCTCCCAAGCGGCTGTGAGTGTCCCTCTCCGCTCAGGCCCACCCGACCTTACTGTCTGCCACTCCCAGGGTGAACCCAGCCCGCGGGGGCAGGGGGCGTCTGGGCCCGGGCTCGTTCTGCAGTGACCTTCGCCGGCCTGCGTCCCAGATCCCAGCCCTGACTCTAGGCTCCCCATCACCCGCCGCCGACCCTCTTCTCAGTGCCGACAACTCTTGGTCTCTACGAAGGGACTCTGGGTTCCCCCCCACCAACCCGCCGCAGGTTGGGTCGTGCAGACCCTCTTGGTGCCGCTTCCCGCCAACTCGAGGGTCATCTGAGGCTCCGCAAAAGCTGGTTTACGAGGCTTTGAGGGCGTCTTGGAGGACAGGGGCCCCTCGGTCTGGCTGTGCCGGTGGCTCAGTGCGAGTTGACTTGACCTTTCTGAACCTCTGTTTCCGAGGCTGTTTAAGCGGGGGAGAGAGGGGTTGAAGAGAGAATTAAATGCAATAATACACACGTAAACGTTAGGTTTTTCAGTACGAGGCGATACGTTATCGATTTACACTGTCCCCTTTCAGCTTCAGCGCGATCCAAGTTCTACATTCGGGAGCCGCCACATGACAGACCTGACTGGCTGAAAGTTGGACTGACCTTGGGCACCTCCGCCTTCTTGTGGATCTATGTGAGTTTTTTACTCCCTTGATGTCGTGTGACCCCAACACAGTGGGGAGGAGAAATGTCAGTGTGAGATTGTTGCTGAGCTTATCTCCCATCCAGTTGGATGTTTATGTAATTGGAAAGTGTAACGGAAATCCCAAAGACTAAAAAGAAATATTAAAGTTTTCCGCAGCATCGAGAAAATATGATGAGGCTGAAACTTACCTCATTCATTGTTAATGAGCATGGTTTTATGATGAATGGCAATTTTACTATTAATTGTTCTTTACTTGCTAATGAGGATGGGAGCTGGTTGGGTTTTATGAAGACACTTTTTTTTTCAGATGCCATAGGTACAAATCATCAGTGGACAAGCTATACAAATTAAGTCCCACTAGACTTCCAAAACATAAGATTTTAATCAACGTTTGCATAAATACGTTGTTGGAAATTGTACTTAGTGTGTGGCAGCCTTTTTTTCTTTGTCTTTACAGTATGCCAAATGCTTTACATGTAAAAACTCATTTAATCTTTTCAACAACACTGTATAGTAGGTAATATTATTGTTGACTTTTTATAAAGAAAACGCTTGGGGAAATTAGTTTGCTAAACCCACTTCTCCCTGACTTCAGAATTACACTATAGACCATTATGAAATACTGCCTCTCTGTAGATAAATTTTCTTGAAGTTGACTAAAAGTCTGTGTGCTATATTAGTATTTAAAAAATTTTTTTTTTGTCTCTAATAGGTTAGGGGCTTTCTCCACTGCCTCCCACCTCCAATTCTTAGATCTCTTATTTTGGATTTTCTCATTAAAATGGCTTGTGGATGGGGGCGCCTGGGTGGCTTAGTCGTTAAACATCTGCCTTTGGCTCGGGTCACGATCCCAGAGTCCTGGGATCTAGCCCTGCATTGGGCTCCCTGCACAGCGGGGAGCCTGCTTCTCCCTCTCCCTCTGCCTGCTACTCCCCCTGCTTGTGCTCTTTGTCAAATAAATAAAATCTTAAAAAAAAAAAAAGTCTTGTTGATAAGGAGTAAGAGATGTTGAAAGTCATTTACAACATAACAACAGTAACTAATTCTTTTTAAAATAGTATTTGTCATAATGAAGTTTTAATTTAAAGTTTTCCCTAAAAAAGCTTGATTGCTGCTGAGAACTCTTACTGAAATTGGATCTTTGATTGCAGCAAATGTCACCCCATATCAACCATTGTTTTGGTTGCATATTCTGTCAGACAGTGGTTCTAAGAAAGTGTCTATCTCCCGTGACATCTAATTAATACACATATAGTTGGGGGATGGGATTGGTCACTCATAGTATCAAACTTCTAAGGTTAGAAGTATGCCACACCCAGCAACCAGCCTGGACCTCATTTAATACTCAGTTCTGGTTGGTTGTATTGGTTTAGCTCCTCTATGGTAAGTTATTCTATTACATTAATTACCCACTGAATGAGTGCTCGCTTCAGCAGCACATATAATAATAATTACCCACTGAATGAAATAATTTATTTGGCAGAAGTTGAATTTAAAATCATAAGGTGGCGCCTGGGTGCCTCATTCGTTAAGCGTCTGCCTTGGGCGCAGGTCATGATCTCAGGGTCCTGGATTTGAGCCCCATAGCAGGCTCCCTGCTCAGTGGGGAGTCTGCTTCTCCCTCTGCCTGCCGCTCCCCCTGCTTGTGTGCTCTCTCTCTCTGACAAATGAATAAATAAAATCTTTAAAAAAAAAAACCTTTCTTTAAAAAAAAGGAAAAGAAGGAAACCTGGGTAGCCCAGTCAGTTAAGTGTCTGCCTTCAGCTCAAGTCATGATCCCAGGGTCCTGGGATTGAGTCCCACTTCGGGCTCCTTGCTCAGCAGGGAGCTGCTTCTCCCTCTGCCTGCCGCTCCCCCTGCTTGTGCTCTCTCTCTCTGACAAATAAATAAAATCTTTAAGAAAAAAGACAAAGAAAAGCAAATCCAGGCCCCAGTGCCCCCATGCCCTCCCTCACACCCCTAAAATAGTTGTAATTCTTTTACAACGTACAATTCTTATTCCTCTTATATACCAAATATAAGTATCATTGGTTAGCCTCTTTAA